CAAGGTAAACGCAGCCCGGACCAAAAGTTCAATGGTGACTCAGGTAAAGCAAAAAAAAAAAAAAAAAGTGAAAAGGAGAAGGAAACATACTTTGAGATTTCAGGCTTATTTTCTTATTTGACAGTCAAATCAGCAAAGAAGCCACGCAATTGTCTCTGGCAGAAGAATGGTCTAAATATGAAACAGTGCTGGTGTGTTCTAGCTTCCGAACAAGCTTTGCACCGAACTCGGCGTCGTTTCTCTTGGCTGCCTTTGCTAATTGCCACCAAGATTCAGTTTAACACAAAAATAACGCTCCTATCTCGTGGGAACCATACCTCGCGACTGTTACCGAGACCATGGGAAGACAATCCCAATCCAACACCACCTTTCGCCAGCTGAAGGCTGTACCGTGTGCTTTTGTAACCTAATAATAATAGACCTTTCTTTCAACTACCCGAACAACTGCTTGATTGCTGCCAAAATAACAACTAAATAGTATGAAAGCACTGTAATTATTTTGGGGGAAGAACAAACTATTGTTGGCACAATCCGGTTTATAAACTTGAGTTCCTAATCTGCAACACACAGGATTGAAGTCACACCCGTGAGTAGTCTCAGTGGCTTTTAAGGAAGGACTGGCAGTGTTTAAAGATAAATGCCGTGTTTAAAGATAAGATAAAGTGCATCGTGTCCGTAGGACTACAGCCTAACCAGTGCTTGCCATAATGTCATCTGATGTTATCCATCAGTCTCGGACAAATTTTAAAATTAGCTCCATTGGATCAGCACATTTAACTTCAATTCGCATCCTTTCCACTTCTGTGTGACGGATTTCTTGCTCCTCTCTGAAGTGTTTTCATTTGTTATTGTGAAAGTGTGAATTTGCAGTGTATCACCTGTATCACCTATATTTACCTTTCAACCAACATATGTGCCTACCACATGGAATTTTATCATTGAAAACATTATTAAAATAAAGGTATATTTTAATGTGTTAGTTGTGTAAGTGAATTCTTTATTTTGCCTCTAATGTGGACATAACACAAGTCCTCTGTAATGTCCTGCAGCCAGTAACTAAATTAATGTACCCAAAACAGTGTACAGTTGTACGTATCTACATTAGAATGTATAAATCTGATGTTTGTGTTACCATGACCCAAGCAACTTATGGGCCTTGGCAAATATTTTATACAGTTTCTTACCAGTTTTGCTTTTCCTTTATGACTTACTCTGTATATTCAATGCTTGACATAAGTGGATTATTTGAAACTGTCTGGTATATTAAATATGTAGCTGCAGTTCCTCAGAAGGGCCTGGCTGGGGCTTAAGGCAGAAGCTGTGCATGGGGGTAGCGCGGCACAGGAATAGCCCTGACCCACCTGCCCCTGCATCGCGTCACATGGGTGTGCAGTCCCGATTAGATGGGGGCAGTCCCCTTGGCCTCATTGCTGCCACCAAGACAGGTGGGTCAGGAGCCACGCTCCTGGACCCTCCAAGACTGGTTTACGATGACTAGTTTGGGAGCAAGGGATTTAACTATATGTGAGTGCACGTGAGTGTGAATACCCACAAATGTACTTACATATATATATATTTTTAGTTCCTCTTATCTGCACCCAGGTGTTTCACCCAGTAGGGCGATAGGTCCCAAGCAGAGAGGTGCTCTACAGAAGTAGGAAAACACCTTTAGCTACTTAACACCGTGACGCTGATGGGGTCCAGCCGTCCTCCCCTCTCTTGGCCTCCCGTCCTTCCCATCTCAGTGGGGAGGGGAGCACAGCAGCCGCTGGGCAAGGCTGGCTCTCTCCTAGCCAGCAGCAGTGGTTTCTGCATGGCTTTTGATGGACCTCAGCTTCCCTGTACCTCATCAGCCTGGCTGAGTTGCATCTCCTCTCTGCAGGGAGGTTGGGTGCCCACCCTACAGAGAAGAGGTAGGAAGGGGGGAAAGAAGCAATCCCACATTCTCTCTTCTGCCCTGCTCATATTACATATCACATCAGCCCTTCTCATATTCCCATAATCATCTATGCCTGTCTCACCACAGTAGCCTCTGTGCAGGTCTCCATATTCACTATCATTCCAGTACCCCGACACCCCTAACCCTTAACACTATTCTAACAGTCCCGCTGAAGAACCATTTTCTTCACCCTCCGGTTACGACCAACCCAGCCAGACCTTCAGCCTTTTTTTTTGAGCTTCTTTCAGCTCGACTGCTTCCACCACCACTATGTAAGCAAAGGCAGGTGGCAGCTGGGACTTTGCCTAATGCATAGCACAGGTAATATTTGTGCTTGCTTTTAGTGTTCATTCCCATAGTGTGCATCACCGCGTGATACAGTTAACAGGTGACACCTTAAATGCTCACATTCTCTTACAGCTTTTTCTTTTAACAGTGAAAATAATTTTACCAGCTTACTAAAAGAGGGAAACCTGGCTAGAAATAAACATTTTCTTAAACAAGTGCAGCTGAAAATTTCAGAAAAAAGCACCAAGCGTTCAAGAATCACAATGAAACATTAGGAATTGCCCCACATCGGCCATTTGATGGGAAATGAGATGATGGGCTCAGCCTCTTACAACACTTACATCCAAATAAAAGCCAACACCCAGCTGTATTAACAGAGGCGACGGGAGCTGACTGGGCATGAAGAACAAGTCAGCCACCCATCCCTTGGCGTGGGTCCATGGTGTCAGGCACAGCGCCGGGCAGGCAGCAGGGCAGCGTGAAGCAGGATGTGCCCCCGCTGCCGGCACTGTGCCCCTTCCAGGGAGGGATCTCAGAGGAGCAAGAAATCTCACCTCAGATTGAGTTTCTTTCTTTAAGTAGGCAGCAGATGTCTGCCAGAGACGCGACCAGACTCCCTATTTTCATTATTTACCCTAACCATTACAATGTGTAAAATAACCTGCCCTTTGGTATCTCTTCAGGTAATGGACCACCCCTAAAAAGAAAATGTCTTTTATTTACAGACAACTGTATTATTCTAAGTACTCACAGTATTCTCATCCTTCTCTTTAAGGACGAGAGACCTGAAAAAGAACTGATGTATCTTACAATCTTTTTATTCCTTGCACTCCCTACTCTCTGGGCCACTTTTACTCCTAAATACTGCCCCCAAAAAATAATAAGGAAAAAAAAATTAAAAAGAGGAAATGGAAAATTTCCAAGGAAAAACATTACTTAAGCAAGCAATTGCACTAAGGCTGTTGAGGGAAGAATGGCTAAGGCCAGCCCGTGCTCCCAGTAGACGTGCTTGCCCATACAACTCCCATTCAGCAAGCACCCTGTGCTTGGCCATGATTTCAACAGGATTACTCAGGTAGCAGAGAGACCCGTACGCAGACATCGAAGTATGCACACGTCCATTTAGCCCACGATATGCATATTATTCGCTTTCACTACAGCCTCCAAAAGCGGATCTCGGTCGGAGAAGAGACAGGTCAGGCTGCGAGCGAAACCACATCACCGCCACCACCGCCGCCTCCACCTGAGGAGTTTCAGCGGGTGGGTTTTCTTTTCCGCCTGACGCTCGGGACGAGCCCCGGGGGCCGGCGAGCGGCTGGAGGAGCGGGGCCACCACCGCCGCCTCGCCGGGCAGGCAGGAGGGAGGGAG